TGCTTCCATAAAATCTATTTTTTCACACATCCGTCTTCTTATACGTATCTCAAAAACTTAAATTTCACATACAAATATAATTTTTATTGTAGCTTTAATTTTATATCCAACGGGACTTAAAAATTTATTGGTGTGTAAATTGAAGTCATATGTATGTATGAATAGTGATGAGGTTTTAACCGATTTAGAAGAAGCGAGGTTATTATATGTACTATCTTTCCGGCCGCAGCTTCGCCCGCGTGGAGTTCGGTTATATCGCGTTTCCAAGAGAACCTTTCAATAGTCTGGGATAAAAACTATCCTATGTTCTTTCTCGAGGTCAACTCTGTCTGTACCAAATTTCATTAAAATCAGTTCAGTGGATTAGACGTGAAGCGTAACAGACAGACAGAGTTACTTTCGCATTTATAATATTAGTAGCGATTATTTTATTATTATCAGCTGGTGATGTTATTGATGATGTATTGTGATCTCTTCATCAGTCTGGACATCGCTACGTGTGGAACTAGTACGTATAAGGAAATATAAACAGATTTGGATCATTGAAATCTATATAGATTTCGAATATAGATTCATATGTACATTTTCAATGACGTCTTGTATAGAAAATTATTATTTTTTTACAATATTATTAATAGGAATGTTTGTTCGTCTTTGAAGTGAAAACTATTAAACAGATTTTGATAATACTTTGCTCTTGTATAGTTTAGACATAGAATAATAGATAGTATATAATTTATATTAAAAATAATTTTAGTTACATCAGGAAAAATGCTAATTATTGTATTGTGTGCATGAACTTAATTAGTAAGTCCACGTGGACGAAGTCGCAGGCAAAAGCTAGTATATATATAAATACTATTTTTTCCGCTTACTTCTCTTAATATTTCTACCATTTTTAATACGTACTTTTGTTATAACCAAAAGCTTCTAAAATAACGCTTAAAATATTAACTTGTAGAAAACATAGGATTAATTTATTTAAATACTTAAATAGGTACTATTTTAAAGTTACCCACCATTTATAAAAGCGGCATGGTGGGCATGCTCTAATTTTAATATAATTAAAATTGTATGTATGTTTGTAACATCGAATATATCTGAAACTGTTATATCGTAGAGGATTTAAATTCAGTTAGCCTAAAACGGTTAATATTTTAACTGACAAGTTAGTTGGAGAGTTAGTAACATCTGATTGGTTAAAACAAATTTAGAACGCTCTCGTTTTGTATATATATATGTGTGTGTTTGTCTGTGTGTGTGTGTGTGTGTGTGTGTGTGTGTGTGTGTGCGTTTAACACAAGCGCGTGTCGAGAGCTAAGCTAACACTTGAGAATTTCTCCGCTAGTGAAGCGACAAATATATCGACTCTCGATAGTTTTAATAAAAAACATATATATATATATATATATATATATATATATATATATATATATATATATATATATATATAATACTAGATGACCATGCGAACTTCGTATCGTATAATAATCAAGAAATATCTGTTACCTTTTTTATCTGAATGAAGTTAATTTATTTATTAAGTATGACTGACCCGACACACATGTCAACTCAGGCCACTGAAAAACTCAGACCGATATATTTGCAATGAGCATGTAATTTTATTTAATTACAAAATTTTATTTATTAAAAAAGTGAAACATTTTAGTAATTTACGTATTTTTTTCTTACATAAAAATCTTCTAATATACAAATATGTACAATAAGAATTAGTGAAATCGGTCCAGCCATTCACCAGATGTCGTGACCAAGAGATTAAGGCATTAACAAAAATACTAAAAATTAAAATATTTTCATTCAATATAAAACTAATTGGTGAATAATTTTTTCTTTAGCCATATTTAATATATCGATATATCGATATTTTTTCTATCGACACATCGTCACACCACTAACCCAGCAACGGAACAGCCTGTGTTTGTATAATTCTTAACTGTTAGACACTTAACCGCTGTCGTCCACTATTTTAATATACATTTGTATATATAATGTGGAATATAATTTTTTTTGCTTTTGTGTTAATTTCGTAATTCCGTTTTTTTATATTTTCCAACGAAAGTTTTTTTATCCGTTATTTTTGTCGTTATAACGATGTTTTTGAATATCATTCTGTTTTTTGTTTTATTAAGTTTCAAACTTTACTTTTTATCTTTCTTCTACCTGGCAATTTCCCAGCTATAGCCAGGGTCTGCCTTACATGTTGTGAATAGTTTTTGGCTATTTATATTTGAACATATATTTTGAAAGTTTTTTCTTGTGATTTCTTTTGCTTAAAATAAATCCGAGAACTACAAGGACTGAACGATACGTTATATATCTCATTCCTATATCTAAGCTACATAACCCTCAAGCTTCATCAAAATCTGTAAATTTGTTTTATGTGTAAGATCCACATACATACATACATAAGTTCAAATAAACTTTCTCATTTATAACACCAATAGGTTTAAAACTATTTCATATATATGTGTGATTTTGGCTTTAATTTTTTAAATAATCTATTTAAATTTAATTTATTTTATCAAATTATTAACATATTTGGGATACGCCTCTCATTCTTACCACTTTTTCCAAGTTATAACTACCTAGGTACTTAAAATTTTTAATGTCCGTAATTTTTTTTTATCACTCTTAATACATTCTTATATATATGTTATGGAATTCTTCTGGACAATTTCGAAATGAGGAAAAATATTTTAGTAATATTTTAAGTTTTAAGGTTTTTCTCTTGACCTGATTAAAATATATATTTCAATTATGAATATTATATGTTTTCTAACAACTATTACGATTTTTGATATAAATTTACAACTTACAATTAAATAATAGATTTGTTTTACCGTTTTTGATAAAACTCATTTCGGAGATAGATTTTGTTATAGATTTATACATAGAAATATATATCCGTATCATTAATCATTCGCGCTTCTTACGCGTTTATTAAAATTTTAAAGACAAACTGGCTTATTTAGATAAAAATTAATAAATAAATAAAATAACTAATATGTAACGTATACAATTAATATTTGTTTTCTCTAAAAATGTTAAGTAAATTATTTAAATAACACCTAACAATGAACTTACTACAAGACATAGTAAAACGATATACAGACAGTTTAGAGTTATTTCATAATTATTCTACAATTATACTATTAAAAAACTTGAAAGTACGCGTTAATCGCCCGATGCAGACACATAGTAAGCACAGTTATAGCATTAATGTTTTATATTAAAAATACAGTAAAAATAATTTAGTCAATGGTGGCCCAGTGGTTAAAGGCCCGCCTCTCGTTGCCGAGGGCGCGGGTTCGATCCTGGCCCTGGCAAGTACCAATGTGATTTTTCCCAGTCATATGTACTTTCTAAGAGTATTTAGACATCACTGATTAATGTTGATTCCCAAAAAGAGGGTTGATGTCAGGCAGGCGGCCGGTCGTAAAAACAAATAACCAAAACTATTCACAACATATAAGGCAGACCCTGGCTATAGCTGGGAAATTGCCAGGTAGAAGAAGATTAAAAATACGTGAATTTATGTTTTTAATCGTCGAACCCGTAGTAAGCTATCCAGTAGCTACAGAATTTAACGCTATGTGATTATAACAGTACACGTAAACGTAAATATTTATCGTAATCAAATATTGATTGTGAAAGTCAAAGTTTCCCTGTTTCAATAATTTCATGTATACTGTACAGTCGAACGAACTTGTTACTTTTTAATGAGTACGGAGTGACTCGTTTTTTATTGCCAAGTAATAATTTTAATGTATATATACAGGGTGACTGGTGAATTACTATCGATACTTGAGGACGTGATATTTGACGATCATATATGACAAAATAAAAATTAATATAACATAAATATTAATAAACTTCTGAGTAAAGTTAACCAAAAGTTATGTAATTAATTAAGTATCGAGTGAACACCCTACAGATTAGGTATACACACACACACACACACACACGCGCGTGCGGCGGCGTGGTGTTGTATCAGCACGCCGCCGCACGCGTCCACACTTGGAACGTGTCCACACTTTATTTATTTATACGGAAATTTTGTCAAAAATTAAGTACCTATTTTTTTGACATAATTCGAATGAGAATCATGTACCGAGTATTCTCCTTAAATATTGATAGTAATTCACCAGTCACCATGTATATGAAATTTATTAATTATAATCTCATGTTTGTTTTTATTAAAACTAAACCAGATGTATGTGGAACGCTATTAAATGGAAAAAGAAACTTTTATTAATATTTGTCGCGATCTTAATTTCTTTTTACGATCATCGACCGTCAAGAAGAAATTTTATTATTTTATTTGATATTCTGTTTTGTAAAGTCAAAAAAATATATACGTTACCATGAACTGGGGATTATAAGCTATTAATTAAACCCATATTTCTTTTAAATACATATATAATTTTAGCTTTATAAACCAGAATATTAAAGATAAAAAAATTGTACTGAAAGATAATCTGACCATTGTATAATTTCCTTACAAATTAGAAGAACCTAATATATATATATACTAGAAGACCCGGCGAACTTCGTATCGCCCTATAATCAAGAAATATCTGTTACGTTTTTTTATTTATATTTTTGGAGTTTACCTATTAAAGCCATAAATCTCCGTGTTTTGAAGTGCGACAAAATGATTGACATATTAGTTAGTTGTCAAATCTAATGTCAAAAAAAAAACGTTTGTATCAACAACGACTAATGAATTAAAAATTAATAAAAAAAACATTGTCCAGCGGACGAAATTGCGAATCTAAACAATTACCAGATCCCCTTGAACAAACATAAAAAATTTCATTAAAAGTCGGTCCAGTCGTTTTAGAGAAGTTCAGTGACATACACACTCACAGAAGAATTATATATATAAAGATATAACAAAAACACTACTATTAATAAAATTAAAACTTTTATTCTTTCCATTACGTATTCAATAACTTATTTTTTATTAAATCTTCCAGTCATTGATGCGTTCGATGTCTGTGGAACAGCGGTGGCAGGACCTGGCCTCGCTGCTGACGATTCCTCCGCCCCCCGACCAGTACCAGCACTACCAACATCCGCATCCGCACCCACATCCGCACCCACACACACATCCACATCCGCATCCGCACCATAACTTAAGGTGAGTAACACCTGGTATCTAAAGTATATATAGCATTTATAGTTTATTTAAAAACTAGCTTTCCGCCCGCAGCTTCGCCGCGTGGAGTTCGGTTATATCGCGTTTCCAAGAGAACCTTTCAAAAGTCTGGGATAAAAACTATCCTATGTTCTTTCTCAAGGTCAACTCTATCTCTGTACCGAATTTCATTAAAATCAGTTCAGTGGTTTAGGCGTGAAAGCGTAGCAGACAGACAGACAGACAGACAGACAGAGTTACTTTCGCATTTATAATATTAGTAGGGATTGCTTATCTTAATGTTTTTGATCGATCATAAAGATCTAATTAGCCCAAAAATCCTATATATTTGTAAAAAAATTATAATAAGTAGTATCAATATAAATATTGAACACATCTTCTAGTCTGTCATAAAGTTCTAATTAGGTTAAAAATGCTCTATTAAAAAATATATAGAGTAAGTAATATTTTAGTATATATCTTTTTTATACCAGAATAGTAAATTAGTATACATCACATTTGCATACTTATATATATGTAAATTTTGTGTAGTCTCAATCATAACACGATATCTTTTTCGAGCAGTGCCCACGGAGGGGCGGGTTACGCTCCAAACTACCACGCCCCGATACCACCTATACCGGAAAAACATCACGAAGCTTACGGTAAGATTAATATTAATAAATGTTATAAAAGTAAATATATCTATCATATATGTAAATATAAAGTGTTGAGGGGTCTTTATATTTTTTTTATTTTATTTTAATTGGATAACCAACAAAAGAAAACATTATTATATTCATCTCATTATCAAACTATTAAAAATAACTTAAATGTCCTTTTAATTATAGCCTATAACATCATGCAAAATATAATAATTGTATTAAATTAAGATTTAAATATAAAACAATAATAATAAATTCAATAAAACATTACATAATAATCATTAACAATTGACATAACTAATAACATTATTATAGAAAATACAATTTAATTATGGTCATATGGGTCATGTTATAATAGCTATCTAAAATAATCTTTGAAGCTAGGATTTAAAATTATAAAGGATTTTTTGATATACTATTGGTCGTAATATCCTAGTGGTTAAAGGTCCGCCTCTCGTACATGTAGGCGCGGGTTCGATCCGGGCAAGTACCAATGTGATGTTCCGAGTCATATGTACTTTATAAGAGTATTTAGATATCACTGATTAATGTAGGAAAATATGAGGAAACTTATAATTACAAGTCCATACTTGTAATTATAAGTTTGAAATCACCAACCCGTCTTGAGCGAGCGTGGTGATTAATGCTCAAACCTTCTCCATGTGAGAAGAGGCTCAGCAGTGGGTTTTGGTAGACTGATAATGTTTTTTTGATATATATGTATTCTGTTAATACTTCCAGGTGCCCCAGCTCCTCTTGATGGCGCGTATAAAGTAGAAGCAGCCCATCACCCTCAACAACACGATGGACTATACTATCAGGTAATAAATAAATTAGAGAGGAATCCTCTCATCATTCCATGTATTCACGGTGCGTGTGTCGGGTCCATCGTTGTAGTGAGAGGAGCTTCAACAGTGACTGGGACTTGACCCAGCTGTAGGTTTAAGGGACCCTATCTAACGTTAAACAATCACCACCATACAAGCTCCTCTCTCTACATATCTTCTTGTATGAATCTAATATACACATTGCTGTTATTAAATTCTTTGTTTCTTATTGAAAAGTACTCGTATTTTTCTTAAACTCGGACAAAATGAGATCTAGTGAGATCAAAGGATAGTAATATATTCATTTAAATGAAACTAATATTTTCGTATACTACGCTTATTTTATTATTTTAAATACTTACTCCCGACGTTTCGGTTACTTTGCAGCAACCGTGAATATGTAGTATTCCGCATATATTAGTGTCATTTTCTAAACATAATTCCTATATCCAGACGCCTACGGAACCACAGCAAGACGGGTTTCTGCAATCCATTCTAAACGATGAGGATCTCCAATTAATGGATATGGCAATGAATGAGGGTAAGTACCATTTTATAAATATACTAGAAGACCCGGCGAACTTCGTATTGCCCTATAATCAAGAAATATCTGTTACGTTTTTTTAATAAATAAAGTTATGCTATTATGTTTTAAATAGTAACTCATGTATGACGTTTGTATTTTTAACAAAGCGCCATCTATTGAATACTTAACTCAGTCAACAGATAATTGTAATAATGACAAATAATTTTCTTTAATAGACAAATAATTAGCAATAAAGTAATATTGTGACTATAAATTGAGATGTAAGCTATCGTATCTTTCAAGTTGGATCAAAATGCACACGAATGTAAATCAAATTAAAAATCGGTTTAGCAGTTTCGGTGTCCATCGCGGACAAACACGTGACATGAAAGTTTTATATATATAGAGATAATATAAGTATATCATTACAATAGTTAGCCTACTTTTTTGTCTTTGTATCTTGCACCAGAATGTATTATTTTTTTTTCTCTTTATTTTGACACAGTCATTAATATGATTAAAAATACAATGATCTAAAATTAAGTTACATAAAGACAATGAGTGTCCAAACTTGAATACATTTAGAATATATATATTTTAACAACATCAGTTTGAAAACAGTGAAAAAAATCAGAGTAAACCACTTATATTGTGTGAAAACTAAGGATAACACTTTACAAAATTTATATATATGATAGTAATAATTCATTAAATACTGAAAATGCTTATCTAAAGACCACCTAGTCAAGTATTTTTTCTTACTGATATTCTAACATATAAATTATTTAATTTTGATCCAATAAGATATCACAAATACACAGAATTAGAAATAAAATTCCCTTAAAATCAACAAATTCAGAGCAAAACTTGATTAAATCTAAGAAACACATCAACATTAACTTCAAGTCATCCATACAAACATATATGTTATCAGTATTAATATATACAGACTTTATATAATGTGGCAAATAATAATTTGCTTATATACTAACATTGCTGAAGGTTGTCTGATAACGATATGATAAGGACTCTTATCACATGATAACATATGATATTTACGCCAACATGATGTTTTTTTGGCCATTTACTTTGAAAGATTTCATAAATTATATATTTAATAATAAAAAAAATAGTAGTCATGTACAGATTTTCATCAAATCGAAATAACTAATTAGTTTCAATACAAAAACTTTTGATGCTCGAGTTTTTGTATCTTCCAGTTATCAATGCTTAGTGGTTTGCAAATAATATTTAATGACGAAAACATTATTATCAATTGATTTGGATTTTCCTTATTGATGTCATATCAATTACGATTATTCATACTTAGATGATATTCGTATACACAACATTACCGTCATCCGCGAAGTCGGTTAAAATGTCTCCGGATCGCGGTTTTCTGTTTAAATAAGATTCAATTAATTCCTATTCAAACATTCACGTGATTTATCTGCCAATTGCGTTTCAACTCTCACTGGCGACGGTTGTTTTGTTTGTATAAAGTTATCAAAATGGGAATTTTCTCTTACGTATATAGATTATTCGTGAAGAAGTGATTTTATTGTGAATTATATTGACTTTACATAATTTAATTTAAGTGTTGTGATAATTTAGGACGTTTTTTTCAAAACTTTTAAATTGCTTGATATTTTTTTGCTAATTTTGACCCAAGTTTTTGTGTGGTGACGTAAAAAGGCCTACCTATGCCATACTTTCTAAACGTTCGTAAAGAAAAGAGTAGAAAGGTGCACAACACTGATAATTGTGTCTGCCTCTGTGTTTACTGCTGTGCTCTAAGACGTCCAAGGACTAGCTGTGAATCTCTCATCAAAGTTCCAGTCTTCGTTTTGAAAAGATACAACTTTTGCCTATGGTCATTCAAATATCGTCAAGACAAATGATCGATATTAAGAAAAATAGCTTCCTTTCTACACAAGATGTGTCCACGTCACAACTTCGTCGACCGAAATACGTTTGCGTTATGATATCCCAAAAATAATGCAGATAGTTATCGCAATCTTATCGAAATCGGTTCAGTGGTATTGAAAACATACGATAAAATGTATCATGATAGATACCAATTCACGAAACCGTTGTACGGTATGCCGTACTACAATATATATCGACAGGATATTATTAGCTCATATTATCATTTATACGATGGTGAGTTTAAGTTATTAGATGTAACATATAAATATACTTAAAATATACATATATGCAAATATATAGACCCAAACAGGGTCGGAAAAACAATTAGACAAAATCAACAAGAAATTCTGTTGAAGAAACTTTGCTGACCTTACATAAAATTGAACCAGGGCAGGGAAAATAATATAGAAGAAGTTAAATATACATTTATAACGAAATTCTGAATATCTTATCACGAGACTTGAATTTTTTTTTGGTAACTTTTCTAAATAATAGAGATCATTTGAAGTTATCACAATTTCAAGATATTATTGTAGTGTACCCTAAATTCCTAAGCAAACGAAAATGACAGAAGTATTTCATAAAAAAAAATTATGCTTAAGTCGGTTTAAATCTCAATACAATTGAAAATCTTGATAAAATCTAAAATTAATGTGGTATGATAAAAATTAAACCCTCAACTGCTTTTTCCCGTACACTAAATAATTTTATTATTTAAAGTTAAATTAAAATTAATAAGAGAAAAATATCCCATTACTTCATAAAAAACAAAATCATTTCACGTTTTAAAATCATATAAAATTAATATATTGAACTATTCCAATACATTATCACTTTTAGAGTAATTAATGAAAATATTTTTTTTCCATATATCTAAAATAACTTGAAGAATTTCAACCAAAAAAGTTTATGAGTTATCTTGTAACCTGAACATATATACATAATTGAGAACATGTTTGTTTGTGCAAAGACGTCATATTTACATATAGTTAAAACTAATTCCTTTATCTGTACATGCTTGGTCATTGCAAAGATTTATTTACACTTGGGATTATTTTGAATGCTAGAAGATAAGAAATGACTCGTCATATCATGGTCTAGGTCGATTTTGATAGAATTTTGTTATGTTATATGTATAAGATAAGGAATTGAAGAATATAATTAGTATGTATTACATTCAGTGATGTCAAAATCAATGAAAATCTTTAAAAATCTCATATTAGATAAACAAAAATCCTTTAAAATCTGAATATTTTACAGGTTTAAAATAAGGAACCAAATTAAACAATGAAATTATATGGTTATTATGTTTTACATTAAGTGATGTGAAAAATCAATGAAAATTCAAAAATATTTGATGTACAAAAATCCTCAAAAATCTATTTATTTTACAGGCATGTACACAATGAGGATGTTGGATGGAGCACCAAATGTTCACCAGACACACACACACATGCCGATGACGACAGGTTAGTATATCATTATCATATCATTATCATTGTTGTTTTATCATAATCATCATTATTTTGCATCATGCTAATTATCATCTATGACTCGATAATAATTAAAATTCGCTTTCATGCATGAAAACTTAGTTTTGTTGTTATCATAATTATCATTGTGTATTGACATAATTTGGATTTCGGAGAGCTATTGATAAGGCAAATATTTATTTACAATATACTTATATTATTTTATGCTTTGTCATATTTATATGTGTAGTTTTTTATTAATATTCTATTAATTAATAGTCTCTTATAGTGCAATCAAAATGACCTATAAGAAAATATACATATATCTTCTTCCTGGCGATTTCCCAGCTTTAGCCAGGGTCTGCCAAGAACGTATATATATATATATATATACGTTCTAGGCAGATCTTATATTTACTAGTACAAGAATTTTTTAATGAGAAAACCTTTACGATTTTTAGAAAGAAATTATTAACTTATTGTAAAAAGCACTTAGATTAACTAGTCTTGAATTGTATAAGTCATAACTATGCTAAATTGTTAATTAAATTTAACTATGTAATATATCTCATTTAAGTGAACATTGTATGTTCTTTATTGGGAAATAAAGTTCTATAACCACTAATTTATATATATAATGTTATTTACAGAGCGTGATTCAGCATCAGACAGCGCAGTATCTTCTATGGGGTCTGAAAGAGTCCCCTCACTATCAGACGGAGAATGGTGTGATGGAAGTGACTCCGCGCAGGAATATCACAGGTATAGAAAGATACCCCTACTAATATTATAAATGCGAAAGTAACTCTGTCTGTCTGTTACGCTTTCACGACTAAACCACTCAACTGGTTTTAATGACATTTGGTACAGACATAGTTGACCTTAGAAAGAACATAGGATAGTTTTTATCCCAGACATTTGAAAGGTTCTCTTGGAAACGCGATATAACCGAACTCCACGCGGGTAAAGCTGCGGGCGGAAAGCCAGTAATATATATATATATATATATATATATATATATATATATATATAACAAAATTTTGTAAGAAGTAACTTACTTGCCAATTTTAAAGATATCCACCTAACCTCAATTTATTATTCAACCATAATAATACTATTATTATCATTTCCAGTTCAAAATTCCGACCGTACGAGGCTGCGTATGGCAGAGAAAGATCACACGCTCCACAGAAGAAACATCACATGTTTGGGAAACGATCATTCCAGGTTAGAGAGAGACAGATAGATATAGAGGGAGAGAGAGAGAGAGAGATAGCATGTCTCTGTACGTGTGTGTGTGTGTGTAATAATAAATAGTAAAGTAAGACAGTTATAGTCCGTTATACTTAAGCTGAGCTTTGCATATGTGTGAGTGAAAGTAAAAGTACAGTTAGACAAAAAGTTTATAGAATTCAATTTTATTATATTTAAATAGATACATAACATAAGTGCTATAAAATAAGCAAAAACTGTAAAAGGCCACATGGAAATATTATAAATATTGTGGAAAAAAATATTAATTAATATAATTTTTGAAAACACTATACAAATTCTACTTCACTTGACATTGCGTTTTGAACATTTCATATTGCTACCAGTACAAAAGGTGAAGTGTGGAAGGTGCGGGGCGGAGTAAAAGCAGAATAAACCGGTTCAAAACTAGAAAATAACGTTTCATTCAAAAAATTGACATCACACCTACACTATCCGTGTACACTCACACAAATGCAAGGCTCAGCTTAAATCAAACGCACTAGAAATTTACGTGTTTGACATCATGAAGAACTATGTTATAACATATTAAGTAGTATATTATTATTAAAATAAATTATTTATTATTCCAGGAGCAGCCGTCTCAGGAAACCAGACCGGTTGTGAAGTACGAATGTGAGCAGACATACCATGAGATGCATATGCATGCAGGTGACTATATAATATATCATATATATATATCATAATTACATTCTGATATACATTATATATATTAAAGTCAGTGGTGGCCTAGTGGTTAACAGGGCGCGGGTTCGATCCTGGCAAACCAATGTGTTTTTTCAAAGTCATATGTACTGTCATATGTATGAAAACTATTCACATCATGTAAGGGAGACCCTGGCTAAAGCTAGGAAATTGCCAGATAGAAGAAGATATATTACTATGTCCAATAAGATAATATAAACTTTTGCTACTGATTTTGATGAAATTAAAGCCCCATTATAGATTTTATAAAGATTGTAACTCAATTTTTTTACCTATTTGATATACGATATAAAACTATATATACTGTGTTTAATACTATGTATTCTATGTTTCAGACTACACTCCGCGCCAACACCTCCCGCCTCAGCTGTCCGTTCAGCCGACCTTAGACATCAACTCGCCACACTCGAGCCACGCGCTACAACATGTAAGAATATATATATATGTATATATATATTAGGCTAAAGTCAGTGGTGGCCTAGTGGTTAAAGGCCCGCCTCTCATACATGAGGCTGCGGGTTCGAACCTGAAGTACCAATGTGATGTTCCGAGTCATATGTACTTAAGAGTATTTAGACATCACTGACAGATGAAGGAAAACATCGTGAGGAAACATGGACTTATAGTTTCACAATTATAAGTTTGAAATCACCAACCCGTCTTGAGCGAGCGTGGTGATTAATGCTCTAACCTTCTCCATGTGAGAAGAGGCAGCTCAGCAGTGGGCTCTGATAGACTGATGATGACGCTATATTCACACTGGACGTTTTTGAAATTCTTAGATTTTTGTTTTGAATTATATGTGTGTGTGTGTGATATAGTTAATAAAGAAGATTAATTCTTCTCATTATATTGAATTCTCTAACAGCTGCTTAAAATCTAGATATACACTAAAAAAAATACTTAGTCCTTTGTCTAACATTATAAAAAAATGGAGTTAGTAAAAGACTTGTGCATTATGTATTTTCCTACCAAATTATTTTTCACTAACCAATATCTGATTAACGCATTCCCAAAGAGGGTTGATGTCAGGCAGGCGGATCGTGAAAAAAATTAGCCAAAACTATTCACAAGTAAGGCAGGCCCTGGCTATAGCTGGGAAACTGCCAGGTAAAAGAAGAACCAATATCTTATCAACCTTTCGTGCCCCACAGACTACTCTGCCGAGTGCAACCCCGCCACGCTTCGGGTTTAGTTCCGGAGATAGAGTGAGACACAACCATACATACAGCGCCGCTCTCCCTCCCACAGAGGAACGTCTACCCACAAGAGATAAACGAGGTATGTTATATATATAGGATTCAAACAAAATCCTTATAAAAATATAGTTTTCTATAAAGCCAGTACTTTTAAATAACAATAAAACCTTAACTAGAGCAAACTAATTATTATCTTAAGCCAAAACACCTTAAATTAATTAATTTCTATTTACAATAATACAAGTCGTGTTCACAACATACTTTCGCGCGTTCAAAGAACAGGCCAAGCGTCATCGATATAATATCACTTCGGATGCGTTCGGGAATATAAAGGTTCGGTTCGAATAAAAAGTGTGTTCCCTAAATATATATATCACTTAATAATTACTAATTCTGAAAAAATTACCTTAAAAGTCGTTAATATATAAAATATTTAAATTCAAACTTTCTTCTTATAATCTGCTTCCAATGTAGATACGTGGAATTATACAATGATAGTTACGTGGATTTGTACTATCACCGACTATATATAGTAATTTTTATTCGCTAGTGAGTCGTAGTGAGAATTAATTATAATATCTTCATATAATACATATGAACCAACAGTCATCTATTGTGTGTCGTTACTTTTTTGATTGCACGATACATTATATAGTAAAATTTCATTAAAATCTATTCGATGGTTTTAACATATCACTTTTCTTTATATATATTATAATTTTTAATATATTTGTTGTCAACAGTTCGTCGTTTAACTGACGGTAGTACTTCGGACAGCGGCAGTGGACATATGAGTAGAGACGAAAAGAGGGCGAAGGCTTTAGGTATATATGATACACGTACAAACATATACATATATATGGTCGCCTAAGTTACTCATTATGTTATCTAACTGTCAGTGAAAGTCTCATCAAAATCGGTCCATCCGTTCTAAATTTCAACCTATATAATCAGACAGATGATAAATATAGTAATGTGGAAATGTAAATAAATTACGTCTATCGAAATAATGAATATTATAAACCAATATTATAAACTGTCTCTGTTACTGTATATACAGGGTGACTGGTGAATTACTATCAATATTTAAGGAGCATACTCGGTACATGATTCTCATTCGAATTATGTAAAAAAAATAGGTACTTAATTTTTGACAAAATTTCCGTATAAATAAATAAAGTGTTGACACGTTCCAAGTGTTCCAAGTGTGGACGCGTACGGCGGCGTGCTGATACAAAACCACGCCCCAACTGCGTATGTGTGAGTGTGTGTGTATACCTAATCTGTAGGGTGTTCACACGATGCGTAATTAATTACATAACTTTTGGTTAACTTTACTTAGAAGTTTATTAATATTTATGTTATATTAATTTTTATTTTGTCATATATGATCGTCAACTACCACGTCCTCAAATATCGATAGTAATCCACCAGTCACCCTGTATATATATATATATATATATATATATATATATATATATATATATATATATATATATATCTTTCCCTCTTTTTAATAACTTATATATATTTGTAGGAATACCGTTGGAGGTTCAAGACATCATAAATCTTCCTATGGATGAATTCAACGAGCGTCTGTCCAAACACGACTTGAGCGAGGCGCAATTATCACTCATTAGAGATATTCGGAGACGGGGCAAAAACAAGGTGACAAACATACACACACACACAGAGAGAGAAATAAAATACAGTAGAAACTCTATTAACCAGACTAATTGTTGTCGATAGTCATTCGGATAATCGAATGTATGAAGAAAAGACGGTTTTTTGCATATATAGTACATAATATTATATGTTTATTAAAAATACATATCAAGGAAAATCAATGTTTATTAATAAATAATTAAAAGATACATTTTCTTAGATTACATGTGTACAGATACATGTATGTATGTTTTTAAAACTGCAGATTTAATCATGAAATAAATTACAATATGTATTTGGTAATTTGCAATTGGTGATCATGCATTATAATAATAAGTTCAATTTGGTTTAGAATATTTGTTATTTGTCATTTGACGTACGTCACTCTCAACAACACCACTCTCTTATACTTTGACATCTCTTCTTGTCCGGACTTGTCCGTAGACCGGATAATCGAATTTTTACTGTATATATATATATTAGTAGCGCCATCTGTGACGTACTACTTATAATATACTATAATCCTTACAATTATTATTATGAGTGATTATAATTAATGACAATACTGAACCATTGTAATGTATCAACATGAGTATCATGTGTTTGTAAACTATACATACTGGCTTCACACATCTTGTAACACATTACTGGAAGTAATGATGAACATTAAGAATTAAGACTGAAACTGTAGCTCGAACTATATACATACTAGCTGCACCCCGCGATGTTACCCGCGGATTTCCGGAATGTAAAGTATCCTATGTGTTATTCCTGGACGTCAGCTTCCTGTATACAAAATGTTATCAAAATCGTTTCAGCCGATCGAGCGTGAAGAAGTAACAAACATACACACACTCACAAACTTTCGCAATTATAATATTAGTAGGATATACTAATCTCTACTTATACAATATTCCTCCAGGTGGCAGCACAGAACTGCCGGAAACGGAAGCTGGACCAGATCACGTCATTGGCGGACGAGGTCCGTACGGTACGGGACAGGAAGGCGCGAACACAGAGAGACAGACACAACCTACTGGCTGACAGGCAGAAACTGAAGGAGAGGTTCGCCGCGCTCTACAGACACGTGTTCCAGGTACGGACAGACACACACAGACACACACACACACAGTCAACAGTTAGATCCGTATATACTTAATCACCTGTCTATATATTATATTGTTACGAGATTGTTAACTTTATTATGATCGTAAGTAATATCTGTATTGTCGATTCCACATATAATATAATTACAAGTGATATATAGTCATTTTATATAGAACAATCGTATTACTGGAACATATATAATCAACAATAGAAATGTTCTAATAAACGTATAACTAATAGTTATATCTACTCGTCACTAGATGGCGCTGTCACTAAATGTCGAAAACCTTCTTCTTTCTAATATATCAATTAACCTTTGACCTTTGTTGTAGCACCTTCGCGACCCTGAAGGTCGACCTTTGTCCTCGAGCCAGTACTCACTACAACAGGCGGCAGATGGCAGCGTGGTGCTCGTACCTAGGATGGGGGGAGGTGAGTGATGTGTCATTCAAATAAAGAAAAAGTACTGGACTAAGTCTGATGAAACTTAATACAGATAACTACAGTCAGATATACGAATCGAACTAAAGATTATTTACTTTACTTGTAACTTTACATTTAAATGTATCTAAATGATTCATTTGTTTACATCTATTTCCAGATCACTCCATGAATCGGACGGAAGAAGACGTCGAACGTAAGAACAATTACGAGCAGTAGTGCGTCACCGAGCGCGGCCCGCACATGGATGGGTGACCGGCTGTAACACGCGCTTATAATATATATGTGTTAAGTTAATATATTATATATACGTTGGATACGGAACACGGCACGCTGCACCGGGATTGTATCCCGGATTTACGGGATCGGGAATCCCGAGGATTGTAATGTTGGTTAACATGATGTGAAAGTTCATGTAATACGGGATCCCGGGATTCAATACAGGATCGTTGAGATTCCGGATACATAATCATTAATCCCATGTTAAATTAATCTTGGTTTTCCGAAGCGTTACGAATCCCGTGCTCCCGGGATTCCGGGATTCAAACCGCGGGATCGTGGTTATCTCTATCACCTACACAACCAAGTGTTTGGTGTAGTTCGAAGTTATTTAATTTATTTTTCTATATAATTTCCGTTTCTGTATATTTATATTTAGTTATATATTTGTGATAAACTAATGTTATTCCAATTAGTGACAGTTGCCAGTGAGTGTCGATGCAATAAAAAATAATGTACATTTAGTTTGTAAATAGGTTAGTTATGTGAAGTACAAAATTATAAGCTGAAATCCCGTACAGATGATTATTAATTATTAATAAAAATAAAGATCAAAAAATTAATAGAATATCATCTATGTATGTATTGGGAATCAGTCAAGGTCTTTGGATCGTTTTTTTTTTTAATATATCTATGACGTCACGAGGTCAAAGGTTCCGTATTCCGTACGGAATTTCCGTATTCCGTTCCGTACGGAACCTTTTATATTTGAACCAAAAGCCTCGTGCCGTCAATATAGTGTAGCGCTTGTTCTTACTATAACGTATGTAAGTTTTTCTGGCGACGGGTAATGCATTTCACTAAGTTTTTTCTAAATAAATACTTAGCGTGGCATTGTGTTTGTTATTTACCTTTATATATAAGAAATAATGATATTAAAGAAGAATCCCTACTAATATTATAAATGCGAAAGTAACTCTGTCTGTCTGTTACGCTTTCACGCCTAAACCACTGAACTGATTTTAATGAAATTTGGTACAGACATAGAGTTGATCTTGACAAAGAACATAGGATAGTTTTTATCCCAGACTTTTGAAAGGTTCTCTTGGAAACGCGATATAACCGAACTCGAAGCGAAGCTGCGGGCGGGAAGCTAGTTTATTAATAGAGACGCCTGTGGGAAACACATTTAAAATTATACATATCAACATATTTGTAATTATTGCATATAAAGATGCTTTAAATTTCATTTGTATTTATATCTTAAAGATTATTCCTAAATATCTCTGTTTAATTTTCCAATTCAAACCTAAATTCTTATTCGACAGAAATTTACAACAAATGATTCAAAATATATGAATATTGTTATGTAGCTTTTAAAACATTTTTTGTATTTTTTACATTTATATCTAAGTTTTCACAGTGTCCCATAAACCAATATTCGTTTTTCCGTACACTGGAATTAATTTTCGTTAAATCACAATTACATTGACATCTCAATACATTTATATTTTGTACTTAATGTATTAAACAATAAAAGATATAGCCAATAATATAATCATACGAGTATGACAAAATAGAGTAATAAAATTATTAAGGTATGTACTTGACCTTGTCATGAATTGGTAGAATATTTTGTGAAATAATTCGTTAGTATTGTCACATTTAAACCTAAGTTTTATGGGAACTATCGTTTTAATAATACGTAACTGTAAATCATATATATGATCAAGATGTGATTTAAACGTTCTTCCATAACTACTGAGGCCATAATATATAGTTGTCTCTCCGAGAGCTTTGTATAAGCTTAAGATGGTGGAGTATGGGATTTTTTGTTTTATTATGCTAAATTTGGCCAAAATGAGCAATCCTAGATATTTATGTTTACTTAAAACTTCTATTATTTCGCAATTACAATGTTGATAATCGTTATTATGGAGACATTTATGACTGTGTGCTACAACTTTTGGAATCATGTTGCTACGGTTTTGACTAGGGCTTACGTACATTAGTTTAGTTTTTTTTGCATTATGTTAGTTAAAGTCGTGTTTATTTCCTTGTTTGCAGATACAAGACATGTGTCTAGTTTCTGACTAGTTTCATCCCCAATTTTAACCTTATAAGACCTATCTTTAATATAATTTTTACCCCATTCATTAAGAGGACCTCGTATTCCACAGTGACTTAGTTTTTCAATCAGGGTTTTATGTCTAAGAGTATCAAAGGCTTTACTATAGTCAATAAATACAATTATAACGTGTTCTTTATTGTCTAAATGGCTATAAACTTTATCAGTAAATGTAGAAAGTAATTGTTTGGCACTTTTACCTGATTGCTTGTCAGTAATTATGTTATTTTTCTTATAAAATGCGTTTATTTGTTTAGAAATAGACTTTTCCACTATTTTATCTATAGCAGAAAGTATTGTTATATGACGATAGTTATTATAGTAGAATGAAACTCATTAGAAAAAGAGGATAATATTATAAAAATTAAAAGAAAAATAATTTACGGGCGATCTGAGGTCGGGAAGGGTATGGGGATGGGTAATTAAGGGTGTTCGGTATTTAGACAGCTTAAAGAAAACTTCTTTGGTTTTGCTAAATACCCTTATCTGTAGATACAGGTGTTACTAAGACAAGAAATCGTAGCGAAAACTATAAAAAATGGGTTTTCTCGATTTCCGGCAAAACTAAAAGTCCTACAGAAAAATGTTATATGTCAAAGTTGTAGACAATAAAAAGATCTAAAACTTTGGTACTAACATTTTTTTCACCTAACCTCAAAATTTATGTGAAAAATTCGAAAACCTTATCAAAAATTTATGTAAAAAAAAAATATTTTTAAAAACAATATTTCGTCACGAAATTTGGTGTAAAAGAAAACTTTTGATGTCCCAAATACACTGTAATTTATTTGATTAGAAATATTTATTTTTTCAGCCTATTTTGAATAAATATCGAAAATTCAGCCTCATTTTCAATCGAAAAATCACCCGTCAAAATATCAGCTATTTTCAAAAATTTGGTGTGATTTCAATTTGTTGAAATCTCTTTTTTCCGATGGTGAAGAAAAACATATAAGTTTCTTACTTGCAGAGTACAATTTTTGGATAAATTAATCATGTCCCTTTTAATGAAATGACACTCGACATCGGTTTGAAAATGCTCTTTCTAATTTATTTTTAATAGTTGTGTACTCTGGAAGTTCTCCAGATAGTCCCTCTTTTAGTTAATTTACAGAAAATTGACATTAAGATGCTAAAACTATTAAAAAGAAAAATTAGTATATAAGGTATATTAGTATAACAGTTGATTTATTTATTAACAGTTGATTAATTTATTAACTGTGGTTTGATTTATTAACTTTGGATTAATTCATTAACAGTTGATTAATATTTTAACATTAGATTAATTAGAAAATTATAGACATATTACAGATTTTTCGAGATCGTTTTGGTAGACTGTACCTGTACAGACTGGAACCTCGATGACGTTGGAAGGGAGACAAATATTTAAATATTAACACTTAAAACACTGCAACAATTATCACTACTGATAAGTATTCTTAACGAATGGACTACTGCTTTGAAAGACGATGCTATAATGTTTTAATATAAGAATTATGTTTTTTTAATGTGCAAGTTTCCTCCCGCCAAATTCACATAAGAGGGCTGCATTTGTACCGGAAGGGAGCGAAAACTGGACTAAAAGGCTTAAAAGACAGGTGCTTGACTAAAGATGGATTCCGGATGTCAATATATAACAATAATTAATATTTTTCAGATTTACTATTATTATTTTAAACTACACACTCTTACTGTGGTGCTATTTTTAGGTTTAATTAAAATTGAAAAGCTTTAAAATCAATAAAGTGAAAAACTATTAGTTTATCTGATATAATAAAAAAACGACATTTTAAAATACAGTTTTATTTAAAAAATGTAACAAAATAGACGTATACTTACTCAGGTTCACATAAATATTAAGGCAAGACCCTTACAGTGAATACTTAACTAATCTATATCTAAAATAGAAATAAAGAGTATTCTTAGAAAAATATCAATTATAAAAGAATTTATGACATTTTAATAAAACTTCTTATAAATTATAATCATTTATACTTATAAAATTTGTGTCAATAATTAAAATATTCGTAGCGTCTAACGGTTCTTTTAAAAAAACATATATATAAAATATTAGATCCATGATTTTTCACAAAAAAAAAATTCATTAAATATCCAAAAAATTTAAATCCTGCTTAGTCCAAGTTTGCTTCACTACATACGTCGCGTCAACAGTTTTTGTATAACTCACATAGTATGTATTAACGTCAAACGTCAAGTAGGTAGTCATACAAACTCGTACTAAGCGGTCCGGAGGTCCATATATATTAAAGCTACATCTGCTGCCTGAACATGGCCGTTATTTCTTCGGTGGTCTTGTTCTTGGTCTCCGGGACCTTGGCCGCGATGAAGATGATGAAGATGAACTGAAGCACCGCGAAGATGATGAATGTGTTGGACTGTAGGACCGACTGGGGGCGGAACAGACAGACATATATATATATATAGCTTATATCAATACTTCGAGCTATGACACTATAGCGCAATAGTTAAAGCTACGGCAATACTGTATCTTTGGTCACAAGTCCAATCCTGTATGTCGATATTATAATTAGAGGTTCATATTATTAATATATGTTATATATAATATATTTAAAATCATAGAACATGATTATAGTATATATTTACAGGTTCTTACAAAAACTTTTTCGATCTAGCTTACCATGAGTCTTTACGTAAAATTCACTCACAAATCTCCACACATCATATTATATTAAAATAATGATAAAATAATGATAAATTAACTGATTTGAACCAACTAATTGTCTTCGTTATACAATATAATTCAAAGTTAGTTAATAACTCTTGTATACAAGTTAAAGTTATAAGTTAAACTCACTGCGAGCGGTAAATAACTTAGTCCGACGATGAAGTTGGCTGTCCAGTTTACAGTGACAGCCACGGAGGAGGCGGCCGGGCGGGAAGACTGGTTGAATAACTCTGGAATAAACACGCGTTAAACGATCATTAATGGTGGCCTAGTGATAAAAGGTCCCGCCTCTCGTTGCCGAGGGCGCGGGTTCAATCCTGGCAAGTACCAATGTGATTTTCCGAGTCATATGTACTTTATAAGAGTATTTAGACATCACTATAATGAAGGAAAACATCGCGAGGAAACATGGACTTATAGTTTCACAATTATAAGTTTGAAATCACCGACCCGTCTTGAGCGAGCGTGGTGATTAATGCTCTAACCTTCTCCATGTGAGAAGGAGGCTCAGCATAGGCTCTGATAGGCTGATGACAAACGATCGTTAAACAGAGGTTAAGATTTAACAGACTTAGGAATTGTTGTGAAACATCTTACGCAACTTCCAACAAGGTTGCGTTAAACGTTTAACGATACTCTAGTAATAAAAAGGGACCGAGAGCGAATGCGTGGCGATCAATTGTTACTTGTAAATAATGTTAATAAAGTTTGTTTTAAATAGACAATAATATAACTTGTAAAATTAATTATTTTATTTATAATGTCCAAAAGATAAAGAGATTTTATTCAGGGAAAGTTTTATCATACTTGAGTTATATTTATACAAAAAATATTTACCTAATAATGCTTTTTATGATTTTAGGTAGTTGAATATTGATGACGTTACATGAATGCAACAAGTTACCTTTAGAGTTTCACTTAGAAAAAACGAATAGTTTATGATCTGTATTTATATTATAAAAAAGACTAATTTTACTGCTTCTGTGTAAAGTTGTAACATCAGGACATAAAAATTGCAAAATTTCTTACATAATTTGTCAGGACACAAAAAATTCTTCCACCAAAAAAGAACAATAAGTATAATTGATAAACTACGACAGTACTAAATCTGTCCATTTTTGATATATTTTTCATGCTCTTACCGAAAGTTGCATCTTCACACTACATACGAAAGCTTAGAACTTTTTCATTTACAAAAATCCTCACACATCAACGTAGTACTGCAAACTTTCGAACGTCTTTTTTTTTATTAATTTAAGATCCACCAGTGATAATTACATTAATACAATATTGGGTAAAAAGAAATACAGTGTAGCTTAATTCTAAATGCATTATCTTTTGAAGCAGATACAGCATGCAAATATTAGGAAGTTTATAAATCATTTATTGGTAAAAATTATTAAAATCTCTATATATAAAAATTATGTTACAGGTGGTTCATTATATTAAAAATTAGATCATTACCTATATTTTGTTTATGTAAAAATTATTTATTTAATTTATCGTTGAACAAAAACTTAGAACGAAATGTTTTGAGTGAATCCCTAAAAGGGTCCAAATGTTATTATTATTATTATTATCATTTAGTATTGTCTATAGTCCTGTGTGTAGTATTCCGTGTGTACTCGTAGTAAGCTCACTCACCAGTAACGAGGAACCAGGGTATGGAGCCGGGGCCCGCCGCGAAAGTGACCACGAACAAGATGACCAGCACGATGCACAGGTACGACACCCACGTGTGGCTCGTCTGAGATACATACATAGATATGTACTAGGACGTATTGTGATGAAATCTTTATAAAAGACCAGCTTCACCCGCGTGGAGTTCGGTTATATCGCGTTTCCAAGAGAACCTTTCGAAAGTCTGAGATAAAAACTATCCTATGTTCTTTCTCAAGGTCAACCCTATCTCTGTACTAAATTTCATTAAAATCAGTTCAGTGGTTTAGTCGTGAAAGCGTAATAGACAGAGTTACTTTCGCATTTATAATATTTGTAGGGATTAATGGGCAAAGTATGGCATTCGATCCTTATATAGTAAATAGAAAAATAAGGAAATATTGTGTGTGATATGTTACTTAAGATCTCATTAATCTATTGAGCTTAATTTAAGAATATAAAATCTAATATGTAGACAAAATTGCGGGCGAGAATATGCATAAAGAAATCACTAACATATCATTATACTTATTTGTAGTAATTTCCTTCTAATATACTACGAATATTAAATGTTAATTCCAATAGTATTACACATATATATGTATATATATTTACATATAAGCTGGCGACGCAGAGTCCCACAGTACACATGAACATGCCCCCAAATCCTGCAAGGAGTAAGGTCTTTCTGCCAGCGACTTCCACAAGGAGGAGAGAAACCAGCGTCATCAACACGTTCATGGCACCCATACCTACAGACAGACATTGAAACAATTAATAATTATATATATATATATATATATATATATATATATATATATATATATATATATATATATATATATATATAAACTATTAGCCAAAACTATACACTACATGTAAGGCAGACTCTGGCTATAGCTGGGAAATTGCCAGGAAGAAGAAGATAGTCCGTCAGTCATAATAATCTTATTATTACGATATTTTATATTGACATCAATAAATAGTTCAATCTTCGGAAAATCGCTTTTTTCATGAAACGACTGACATATTGATCATGTATGTAACATAAATAAAATTTTGACAATAATCAATAATAACTATCCACAAAAAAAAAATTAATTGATTTTTTAACTCAATCTACAACCTATAAATGTGTAATAAAATTTTCTTACCCAGAGTAGCGTACTGGCTCTGCGTAGGGCTTAAGTTAGCCGCGGTGAATATTTCCGTGGAGAAGAATATGACGACGTTGATTCCGGAGAACTGCTGAGCAATCATAGCAACCACTGCTACTATTAGCGGCTGTCGGAGCTCACGAGCACGGAATAACTCATGTAGAGTCACTTTCTTACTCACTTTATTCTTCTCCGCCTCCTAGAAGAATAGTAGTATAGTATAGAAGACGCGACAATAGCTTAAGCTCTTTATAAAGTAGATAAGCTTTCGTGGAGTTCGGTTATATCGCGTTTCCAAGAGAACCTTTAAAAATTCTGGCATAAAAACTATCCTATGTTCTTTATCAAGAATAACTCTATGTCTGTACCAAATTTCATTAAAATCAGTTCAGTGGTTTAGGCGTGAAAGCGTAACAGACAGACAGACAGAGTTACTTTCGCATTTATAATATTATTAGGGATATAGTGGTACTCACTTGACGCATTTCTTCCATCTCACCGTGAACAGCCACATCTCCTCTCAAGTAATTAAGAGCTGTTTAAAATAATCATAATAGTTTATTAATATTTGAAATCAATGGAAAAAGTATAAAAAATACATAAAGTTGTTAAAATAATAAATTAAAAGACTTTATATACGGTCCTGATACAAAAAATAACATAATATTAAGTCCTTTCAAAACAATATATAATACTAGCTGCGCCCCGCGGTGTTACCAGCTGCTTTCCGGGATGTAAAGTAGCCTATGTGTTATTCCTAGACGTCAGCTTGCTGTATACAAAACTTCATCAAAATCGGTTCCACCGTTTGAGCGTGAAGAAGTAACAAACATACACACACAAACTTTCGCAATAATAATATTAGTAGAATTAAATCGATGTAAAATTATAAAAAATATATATAATCCTATAGAAATAATAGATTTAAACACATAACATACCTCTTTGAGCCCGTAATTCCGCTCCTTTGTTAAGCAGGAGATATTTAGGTGACTCCGGACACATCCTCAACATACAACATTGTAGTACAGCGGGTATGACAGGTATTGCCAGGAGCCAGGGCCACTGCTCGGTGCCTAGGACCGAGTTGAGACCCAACACTTGAGACAACAGGATCGATATAGTGATGACCAGCTGATAGACTGTACCAATCTGACGGACAAACGGATATATAAGTGTATATATACACTGAACACATTGATATACAGTGTAAACTCCATGTAACGTCACTCGAATTAACGACAAACTCTCTAAAGCGTCGAAATCATTTGACTTTGGTTGGTTTAGGTTGTCTACCATACAATGATACACTCTACATAGCGACACACCCACTCTCAATAACCGACATACATATATACAAAATAATTATATGTCAATGAATCTGAATAAGAAGTCATAGTAACTAATGTAACAACATATATATATATAGAGATTTTCTTCTACTTGAGTATATATATGTATATCCTTATATTAGAAAACTGTTTTATAATATTTGATTTTAATTATCAACAAATAAAATTTTTTATAAATTTTTACTCTATATTTGTTGTATTAAAAGTAAAAAGACTTTATTTATATTAAAATAATATTAATATATTATATATAACTCACGGATCCTCTCAGAGAGACCGGTGATATTTCTGACAAATACATCGGAGCTAGGCCAGCGTTCAGACCGTTGTTAACACCTATTATAAGACTGAAACAATTACATTAAAACATTATTTATATAAAAATGTTCTATTTGTGAAAATATAATAAATAGTTTACTAACATATGTAAAAATGTAAAAATATACAATCAAGTCTGAGTCATATGTGAATGTTTCTTTGTTAATCTTTGAAAATTCTTGTAAGTATGAAATAATTTTTAAAATATCATGTCAATAAGATTATCTGTCCTAATTTAAGATAATTTCAGTTTTTGAAGGGTCAGCAATACTAATTATTACTCAATTAACGCTAAAACTACATTTGAAAAATAAAACATGAGGATTACTCACTCTTTCAAATTCCATGAGATTAAACATCAAGAAAATAAATATATATAAATTAATATATTCACTAAATTCTTATATTTAAAAATCTATTAATTCTCAGTAACTTATAGAATTTTATATTTTCAATTTACCGTCCCAATATCAGCATCTCCACTGAGGATGCCATCTTGGCAAACGCTTCAAGAGCAACAGCGATGAAAACCAGGACATTATTTAATAATAGACCACCTTTTCTACCAAATCTGTAAATAACAGAAAGAAAATTAAATTAATTGTTTTATCTTTCTCATTAATTTGTGAAAATTAAGAATATGCAATATATAAACTTTGTTTTAAAGGTGACTTAGGCCTGTTATTACTTGTTATGCTCTAGTTTAGATATTTTACTAACATGAAAGTAGGTATATTAAAGTCATATGCCAAAGTACTATTTACAATATAGGCACTATTGTCCGCTTCACCAGAGATAGACAAATTATGTGAGTTTTTGTATTTATAATAACTAGCTGACCCGGCGACCGTCGTACCGCCATATATCAAGAAATATATGTTACTCTATTATCTGAATGAAGTTAATTTATTTATTAAAAAAGTTAAATATTCTAGTTTGTTTTTTTTTTCGTAATATTTCTTCTATAAGAACCTTCTCCTAATAATAACAAATACAACAAAAAATAATTACTAAAATCGTTCCAACCGATCACGCGTGATGTCGTGACCAATGGAAAAAGGGATTAATTTTTATATATAAACTATTATTCAGTATTTATATGAGTCATAAGTGTTTTTTTCATACATTACTTAATAAAGTACGTAGTATTATTATTATAATAGTTTCCTTTAGTAGTAATTTCCTCACCTGTCAGCCACGAAGCCAGTGATGGTGCCACCTATCATACCACCCACACAGTATATTGACACCACAATCGACCACACCGTGCTCACCCTGGGGTCATTGACCCCCAAAGTTGAGTTTGACGTAGATAGGACATCCTCGCTCAACCATTTCGTCATTACCTGAGAAAAGATTATATATGTAAATTGGTTTCACTATTACGATCATAGATGGCGTTGTACATAATAAAGCAAATTTTTTTAAAATTCTAGCTGGGAAACTGACCAACAGATGGCGGTGTACATAAAATTCGGTAACGTATTATTTAAACGAAACAATAAAAATGGAAAATAATGATTGAAAGATTAAATGTGTAATTAAGAACTCAGAAATTTCAACCTTGTTATGATTAAAAATTACATTTATGTCAAACAATGTTCATGTTTAATGCAATAACAATATTTTTTTTATAGTAGAATGAATTCTGAACCTGCGAATTAGTGAGTGAGTATTTGAGTGTTAATATAACTCACATATTGCGGCGTGTTTAAGACTCCTGTGTTGTAGCCGTGTTGGAAGGCTGACCAACACGCTGACGAAATAATGGCGAATATTAAACGAGAATTCATGTTCTGAAAGAAAAATCAAATTATTATAATGAATTATAATTTATAATATATTTAAACTTACAATACTGTAAACAGTTGAACGAATTAATATATTTTTTGATTCTATACATATATAATTTTATTAAATTAAAATGTCGATAAGAATTTGTATATACAAATAACAGAAATCATAAACAACATTTATTTATTTTTTTAAATAGTAAATTAGAGATCAATATAATAAACTCAAATATTATAATCCAGTTGGAATCAATTTTACTATTAAATATATCGTTTTGTTTGAGATATTAACAAAGTATTTGTATGTATATGACCGAAAAACATCACTGAACACGCGCCGCTCATACAGATAGATGTATCTTAAACTATAATAACTATATATTATATGAAGACCGACATTAGTATCTATTTACAAACCAACTATTATTTAATATATATTTTCTTTGTATTTTAACATTCTAGTTTCTTGGTGCGTTATCACATACAATTCTTCAACATACAGCTTATTTATAATTATTTCCATGAGTTATTACATTACCTTATTGAAATTATTTTATATACATTGAAAATTATGGTCAACCATTACTACAGTTTAATTATAAAAATATATTATTTTAATATACTTTACCATTTCCTTCTTATTAATTTCTAATATTGAACACATTTTAGCAATTAAATTATTAATAAAATACAATTTTAGATATTATTTTTTTGACAAATTTGTATGTTACCGAAAAAATGGCAGATACGTCACAGATGAAATTTAATATATTCGCGAGTTATTTAAATGAAACTAATATTTTTGGATATACTACGCGATTTTTATTTTTGTATAAACCTACATACTCCCGACGTTTCAGTTACTTTACAGCAACCGTGATCATTAAGACGAGATGTGAATGATAATTTTCGTTTTAAATCCGGTAATTACTTGATTATTAAATAATCAAACAATTCCTTTCGTCACAAGATGGCTACAAAGTGTAAATATTTACAATTAGGTAATCATCACTTACTGATGAAACATTGAATGTAAATATATATTCTTCGTGTTTTTTGTCTCATCTGAATAAAATGTTCATGTATTATTCTGCAATTGTATCTACTATATACAGTAACTCTCGTTAATTCCAAGCTACGATAATTCGAACCTCTCTATTCAAAGTTACCACGAATTCACTACAAAATCTCTTTTTTATACATATATATCACAAATCACAGTTATTCTTCTTATTGTTTTAAATCATAAAAAAACATATAACTTTTACAATATTAAACAATAATACCTTATAACATTTTCTTTGTTCACAAGCTTAGATTTTAAACGTAATCGTAAACTCTACTAGAGATTCTTTAAACTAAGGAAATGTATTTTTTATACTTACATTACCATAAAATTGATAGCCTTCAGATAAATTTATTATAATGAAAACAATAAAATAAATCAAAATTTAGAAAGTGGAACAAACATACGATTAAAGAATGAAACTTTGTTTGTGTCAAAATATTATTAAGACTAGTCGCGGTTTAGTGAATTTTGATATTCAAATCTTTTAAAATAATATTTTATTAGTATCGGTAAACAGCGCCATCTATTATCAAGTAGCTTTAACTTTGTTATTGTCTCTTAAACAGTTGTTATTGTTTTTCACTGTTATAAAACGAAAAAATCAATATTTTCTGAAAATTAAATATATATAAATTAATTTTCATCCACGTTTACTTTTACGTATAAATAACGCAATCATTGGAGCTGTTTCCGAAATAAAAACCATATGGCGTATTAGATGTCATTTTATTGTCAAATTTATTTAATATGGGGTTCTTTAATATATTATCCCTACTAATATTATAAATGCGAAAGTAACTCTGTCTGTCTGTCTGTTACGCTTTCACGCCTAAACCACTGAACTGATTTTAATGAAATTTGGTACAGACATAGAGTTGACTTTGAGAAAGAACATAGGATAGTTTTTATCCCAGACTTTTGAAAGGTTCTCTTGGAAACGCGAAATAACCGAACTCCACGCGGGCGGAAAGCTAGTAATAAATAAAAAATAATATAAAAAACTTCTAACTATCTGTATTTTCATTTGTAAAGAAGACTGATGGTAGGCTAGTATATACATAATATTTCGACATATTTATATAAAGATCATTTATATAAATATGTATGACACATTAATGGCGACCTCTGAATTTGAATAAATTAATATTCATATTATTTTTGTTTATAGAAAGGAATTATAAAATACTAGCTTTCCGTCCGCAGCTTCGTCCGCGTGGAGTTCGTTTATATCGCGTTTCCAAGAGAACCTTTCAAAAGTCTGTGATAAAAACTATCCTATGTTCTTTCTCTAGGTCAACTCTATGTCTGTACCAAATTTCATTAAAATCAGTTCAGTGGTTTAGTCGTGAAAGCGTAACAGACAGACTAGACAGAGTTACTTTCGCATTTATAATATTAGTATCGTATCGTATATTAATAATCTGTGATTAACAATATTAAATTTTATTTTAACGCAACTTTTAACATAAAATATAGATAAAAATAAAGAAATATTATGTTTAATTATTGACAGATATTGACAAATAAACATACTTTTAAAACATTAAAGGAAAGATATTTTTATTTCATTTTCAGTCAAACATTCTCCATTGTACTACAAGGTACCTATCATGTTTTAAAAGTATTACAAACTCATTTTATCAAGCCTTCATAATAATAATATATTTAATAATATATTTAATAAAAATATAAATTCCCTTTCATACTAGAGTACTTGTAATATACATATATCTCACTTCTCGACTTAATTATCACGGTTGTAAAGTAACCGAAACTTCTGTAGTATGTAGTTAAAATAATAAAATACGAATAGTATACGAAAGTATTAGTTACATTTAAATAATCTTATAGGAAGCTTCATTAATAATTATTATTTTTTGACAACCAAAGTTCATTATACATTAAAATGTTATCTTCAAAATATGGCGGCTATCGTTGTGATATTAAAACAGAGAGTTATTTGTTAGAAAAGAGTTTTTTAACAGATAATATATAATAGAAATATTAATTAAATCAATATAATAAACCAACAAATTTTGTTGTTTCATAAAACAATGCTTTAATTGTGTCTCCACATCCGTTCCGCGATATTTGGAGCGGAAATTAATAAAATTTATATTAATCAATATTTACGTGAACTAATTAATTAATATTATATACATATTTTAATAAATTAATTATTATTAAATATCAATATAAAACCTTCATGGTCGAATACTTTTTTAGTTCTCCATGAAGTAAGTCACGTAAACCTCTAGGTCCGAGATCGTGTATCTTTAAACGGGTTATGCACAGTTATAACAACGGTTACCGATTCTTGGAAGGACGGCGTGCTCTTGTAACAAAAGTTTTTTATGTTTGTATTGTTTTTAATTGCGTGATAAATAATAATTATACACTATTTCTGACCTTAGTTTGACTTTAAAAAAAGCATAGTTTATAAAACTCTAGTCATTCAGCCAAGAAAAATATAATAACATAATTAGTTATAAAAAATATAAATAAACTTATAAACAATATGATAAAAGTAAACATTATTAAATATAACAATATACATCCGAAATTATAACAAGCTGAACAAATAAATGAAATAATAAAAAAAATATTTACCGCCATAATAGAGCGTCGGTTTTCAAATTTCGAATTCCGTAAACTTCACTATACAATCTGTTAATATGAATCCGACTTCACTTCACTTCACTCAGGTTTTATGTCATTTTCTTTTTATTCCCACACGAGCGTCTGAGACGTGTGACTTCAAATGATTCGAAATTCAAATGAAGCTTGTGTGACCAGTGACGTCACGGAAACCGGTCCACGATGTTTTTTGTATGGCATTCCGTTACCATTATGCGATAATGATCTTTAGTTATATGGCATAAGGTATAAATTTAATTGAATTTTCTAAGATTTACTTTGCGCGGTTTCCGGTAACTTGAGCATTTGTGGCGCTGTAGCGCTTATATTTTTACGCGTTCAGAGAAAACCGCATGGGGAAATTACTAATATGTACGCATACAGGATAATTCCTTTTATTTCGTCATGCTTTGAATTATTAAATATTGTTTATTATCCTTAATTATTCATAAAGTTCTTAGTTTCCATTTAAAAAACCAAATATTCATGTTAGTTAAGGCGAAAGTTAAATGAAGTTACATTCATATAACTTAAAACTTATTTTAGCTGAAAGTACATTCAAACTGAAAAAACTCGTAAATAAATACATAATTTCACGTAATCTTTATAATAAAGCGGCTTTATATTTTAAAAAAACTTGTATAATAATAATATTAAGCGCTTCAGCGCTACTTTGTACAGATAGAGGTGTGTCGGGGGCCCGCCGCCGACGTCATACTTACTAAAATAACATTTGTAAGTTATGTATATAAATATGATAATTAACTTCATTGTTGTAAAATACAACGCTTCCTTAATATTTTGTCACGGTGTTACTTATTTAAATATTAGTTTAAGACTTATATATTTATTTATTTTTATGTTTATTGACATTTATCTAGTTTTCCGTAACCACGAATTACTAAGCTGAATTTCGTCTGATTTTGTTAATAACGGTAAACTGTAGGTTTGTCGTTTATCAATACTAATCTTGGTAAACCTCGTACTAGGATACTTATACTACTTATAAGTAATTCTTTGCATTTTCTCTTGATTTGTACATTTTGTGTGGCTAGTTATTTAAGGGAAAGCTCTTCATTAAGGGCAGGTTTTAACTTTGAGAAATATAATTTTATGTTCAGGTGATGAAAATAATGATTAGAATTATATTTTATATACATATATCTTTCCATACTTCGAACGAATCTTGGAATAAACCTGTACGCTTACCCCAAATTTGGATCGTTTTACTACATACGTAGCGTCAACAGTTTTTTATAACTTCTCACATAGTAATAACGTATTGAATGAAACGGGAAACTCTTCGTTTTGTAATAAAAACTTGTACTACGACATATTGTAAACAGCTGTGTCAATTCTAAAACATTATAATACTTTTAAACTATTTCACAACTCACCTACATATAAGTCAATTTGTTTTCTAACTATAATTAATATGTCCAAAGTTTTGATTCAATACGAGTTTGTCAGAATATATTGTTTTTTTGTTTCCATTTCATTTCCTGATAATTTAGTATATCAGCATAACATTATGAAAGGCGGAGTTATCGACAATCTAAAGGTCATTCTCACTGTTTAAACCAAGGCTGTATGCAAATCCCAACTAATATTATAAATGCGAAAGTAACTCTGTCTGTTAGGGAGCGTCAAAGTATTACGTTACGCAATTTTTGAAGATTTTTGACCCCCATTCCTTTCCTCGTAACGCACAGTAACGTTTTTTCTGTATCCCCCCCTCCCTTCTCAAAACGTTACGATTCAAGTGATCGATTTCATTCTAAAGTCGTAAAACAATATGTAATAGTTTGGTATAGTTTTGATCTATTAAATGAAGAATGATCATTGATACAAATCTCCCTCTTCTGAAGAAATTACAGTATGAATACTATGAACTCATAGTTTTTATTAATATATTTTTTTTAGAAACAATGCTACGTAACGTTTTATAAGAGACACCCCCTCCCGCCCCAGTAACGCATCGTAACGTTTTACGAGACCCCCCCTCCCCCAAAATTGCGTTACGTAATACTTGAACGCTCCCTTACGCTTTCACGCCTAAACCACTGAACTGATTTTAATGAAATTTGGTACAGAGATAGAGTTGACCTTGAGAAAGAACATAGGATAGTTTTTATCCCAGACTTTTGAAAGGTTCTCTTGGAAACGCGATATAAAGGAACTCCACGCGGGCGAAGCTGCGGGCAGGAAGCTAGTATATATATAATACTAATAAGTTTATTTGTTGAAGGTCTGATATCTAGACAACATGCTACTAGTGTCGCCATCTGTTGTGCATTGCTTGTAAAACCAGTTTATAATAAAGTGTTAGTTTGTACTACTCGTTGTTGGATTATATTATTTAATATTCTTTAAATCTTATTGTATTTGTATAAAATATTCTTTGACAGCAAATGTGACGCCATTTGCCAAAAAAATGGCTCGAATATATTATATAGATTAAAAATAAAACGATTTTGATTTATTTTTGATAAATTTCTTTGGAAATAAAATAACAATTTATTATGTATTATTTATATCTGTCAGATTGTGGACGCTGCGGAGATGTTTCCTTAGATTCGAGTTGCTTGAATAATTCTGTAACAAACATACATACAAACATTAATATTAGTATATATATATACTACAAACTTGTTATTCCCAAAGAGGGTTGATGTCAGGTAGGCGGCCGGTCGTAAAAACAATTAGCCACAACTATTCACATATAAGGCAGACCCTGGCTAAAGCTGGGAAATTGCCAGGTAGAAGATACTAGAGACTTCTCATATTTAAATCTATCTGTCTTACTACAAGTTTGCTTTACTACATACGTATCTTTTCCCGTTTCATTCAATAATCTACGTTAATACTATAATGAGAAGATTCATTAAAGAAAAACTGTTGATGCTACGATATATATATAGAATTTACAGATGAAATAGTCTTTAAAACCTTTACTTAGAACCTTAAAAAGGCAACCTACATACTAATAAATAAATTACATTACCATTAATCGAATTAATAACATAAAAAGTATAAAAAATGAATGAACGATATGAATGATTAATGTTGAACGAATGTATACCTTATTACATTCACCGCACGTGTACTCTGTGGAGTGTTTGACTCGTACATGAGAGGCGAGGGCGGTGACCGAATGAAATGAATCATTACACTGGGAACAGGGGATCCTGGGGGAAAATATATACAAATATATATAATGGCTGTCATCCCTACTAATATTATAAATGCGAAAGTAACTCTGTCTGTCTGTCTGTTATGCTTTCACGCCTAAAGCACTGAACTGATTTTAATGAAATTTGGTACAGACATAGAGTTGACCTTGAGAAAGAACATAGGATAGTTTTTATCCCAGACTTTTGAAAGGTTCTCTTGGAAACGCGATATAACAGAACTACACGCGGGCGAAGCTGCGGGCGGGAAGCTAGTCAATTATAACAACTTAGTATTCATAATTATTGTTATAACTTAAACGAAATCACATTCTTTAAAGGAGAATAGATATATGTTTGAATTTTAATATAAATACGACGTCTGGACGCACGACAGTTGAGTTCAGTGAGTGCGGACCATTGGTGAATATAGAACCTTCTAGAAATACAAAGATGTTTAGAACAATTGAAGTTTCATTGTAAAATATCATGGAACGTACTGGAATAGTGACATTAGTGACGTCAGCAATAATGACGTCACTCTTTAAAAACAACGAATAAATATATATACACATATATATAAGCTCTACTTTCCAAGTCTGCTAACACATACTCGCCACACGCCCCGTGTTTCACCGTCTCTCTGTAATGTTTCTTCAAGCCCCTCTCACTCTTATAATATTTGTTACATTCAACGCAGTAATGTTCTCTTGAACTGCTGTGCACGTTCTGATGAGACTTTAGATTCGATTTAGTCGTGAATTTACGACCACACTCACATAGGAACGGTTTCGAGCCGGTGTGAGATCTGAAAAGTGGAATATAAAAAAATAGCTATTTTATGGATATATTTGACTTATAATGGAAAAAATATGCGTAATTATAATATAAACGTTATTAAAAATAGAAATATCGATAATTTTTTCATGATGCTTTTATCAAAATCGGTCCAGCCTTATTACCTCATATGCACCCGCAAACGTTGTTTTGTACCAAAAAGTCGTTTGCATTCATCACAAACGTATTTCTTAATATTCTTATGTACACCTCTTATATGTACATCCAAGGAGTGTTTATTGCTAAAAAACATTATTAAGATTATATACATATATATGAAAAAAACAAAATACCTTTGAATTGAATAATGAATTCTTATTAAATTATAGTCAGTGGTGGCCTAGTGGTTAAGGGGCCCGCCTCTCGTTGCCGAGGGCGCGGGTTCAATCCTGGCAAGTACCAATGTGATTTTTCCGAGTCATATGTACCTTATAAGAGTATTTAGACATCACTGACTGATGAAGGAAAACATCGTGAAGAAACCTGGACTTATAGTTTCACAATTATAAGTTTGAAATCACCAACCCGTCTTGAGCAAGCGTGGTGATTAATGCTCAAACATTCTCCATGTGAGAAGAGGCCTTACAGCAGTGGGCTTTGATAGGATGATGACATTAAATTAAAAAAAACTCACTCGAACACTTTCCTACAATACACACACACAGACACACAAACTTCCCAGCACTTGTATCTATGTGTGTGTGCGTGAGACCATTTCTTAATATGAACACCGCATTTATTACAGAGGAACACGCGGGAGTGTAGTAGTATGTGTTGCGTTAATACAGTCTTCGTTTTGAATCTTAATTTGCATACATCGCAAATATTCGCGCCGTTTGACTGAAAAAATATTTGATTTATGAGTGACATCTGTCAGAAATGGCGGCAAAATATAATAGAAATTTTGAAGTATATAACAGGTAAGAAAATAACTAAATGAACATATTTATACAACTTGTTCTACCTGTCAATTTCCCAGCTTTAGCCAGGGTCTGCCTTACATGTTGTGAATAGTTTTGTCTAATTGTTTTCACGACCGGCCGCCTGCCTGACATCAACCCTCTTTGGGAATGCATTAATCAGTGATGTCTAAATACTTATAAAGTACATATGACTCGGAAAAATCACATTGGTAAAAGTAAACTGGAAATGTATACAAATGTAAAATAGACAATGAGAACTAAATAAATAGAAGTAACAACCCCCTTTTGATCCTAGTATAAATAGTAAATAGAATAGTTAATACATAAGGCAGGTACACTCATATAGTGACAAATGGCAGAAAGAATATATGCGGAACGAAAGGCCATCATGATTGATAGAACTGGTATGAAAGTGAAATAGCAAACAAGGTCTCTGACCAGTGACCATGTCAGGGGAAGTCGAAAAAAAAACCACTAGGCCACCACTGACTCAATACCTATATATTATGACATACATATACAGGGTGACTGGTGAATTACTATCAATATTTGAGGAGAATACTCGGTACATGATTCTCATTCGAATTATGTAAAAAAAATAGGTACTTAATTTTGACCAAATTTCCGTATAAATAAATAAAGCGTGGACACGTTCCAAGTGTTCCAAGTGTGGACGAGTGCGGCGGCGTGCTGATACAACACTACGCCGCCGCCGCGTCTGTGTGAGTGTGTGTGTATACCTAATCTGTAGGGTGTTCATACGATGCGTAATTAATTACATAACTTTTGGGTAACTTTGCTTAGAAGTTTATTAATATTTATGTAATATTCGTTTTTATTTTGTCATATATGATCGTCAAATATCACGTCCTCAAATATCGATAGTAATTCACCAGTCACCCTGTATATTATCACATACATATAAAACAACTATATACATCTCGTCATAATGATAACAGTTGTAAAGTAACCGAAACGTCGGGAGTATGTAGTTTTATACAAAAATAAAGTGGCGTAATACATCCGAAAAGTATTAGTTTCATTTTAATGACTCGCGAAAATCTCAGTACTCGTTATATATGACATACTTCAAACAAACGTATATTTACAAAATTACGTAAAAATATTTAAGTCATAATTAATTGTAAATAGTTTTAAAAATATTATCAGTGGTTGCCTGGTAGTTAAAAGGTCCGCCTCTAGCACGAGGACGCGGGTTCGATCCTGTCAACTACCAATGTGATGTTCCAAGTCATATGTACTTTCTAAGAGTATTTAGACACCACTGATTAATGCATTCCCATATAGGGTTGATGTCAGGCAGGCGGCCGGTCGTAAAAACTAGCCAAAACTATTCACAACATGTAAGATAGAAGTTATATATAATTATTATTAGTATACCTCTGAATGCTTCATCATATGCTCTTCAAAGACATCTTCACTAATAAATCCTAAACCACAGTCCTGACATTTATAATTCCTTTCTAAATACTCGGGTAACTTTTTCTTCAATTCAATTTCTTCTCTCTGTTTGTCCAATGATAGATGTTTTACTGTAAATTGCATCGACTGCTTCGGTTTCATCCTTCTAGAGTTAATAAATAAATTATAATTAACATTGTAATATATGGAGTAAACATAGTAATTTTTAGGTTTCAATATAAAATAAAGGATAGTAAAATTTTTTGCCAAACATCCCTACTAATATTATAAATGCGAAAGTAACTCTCTCTGTCTGTCTGTTACGCTTTCACGCCTAAACCACTGAACTGATTTTAATGAAATTTGGTACAGACATAGAGTTGACTTCAGAAAGAACATAGGATAGTTTTTATCCCAGACTTTTGAAAGGTTCTCTTGGAAACGCGATATAACCGAACTCCACGCGGGCGAAGCTGCGGGCGGAAAGTTAGTAATTTATATACTAGTTTTTGCTAGTGATTTTTTCACTGTGATTTAAGTAGGTACCTAAATTTAGATTTAAAGAATATTTATTTCTTATTAAAAACATAGTCATAGAGAACATGGAGAAATTAATAAATAAAAAAATTATGTGGCTAAAATACAAGAGTTCAGCAGTTCACAAATTCATAGTAATTAAATTATTTTGTGTACATTTACAAGTTTATTCTACTTATAATATCATTTTAGTAACTTAAAATTTTATATATCATATTTGGTCAGACTTACATACACTATTTGACGAATTTAAGCCAAATCTATAGTGTATGAGTGACATCATTCATAAAGCATCTAACTCTTGATCTCATAGGAAATATATAGAATTCTAGTACAAATAATAGCCTATATATTATTTTTAAGTCAGTGGTGACCTAGTGGTTAAAGGTCCGCTTTTCATGCATGAGGGCGCGGGTTCGATCCTGGCAAGTACCAATATGATGTTCCGCGTCATATGTACTCTATAAGAGTATTTAGACATCACTATTAATGCATTCCCAAAGAGGGTTGATGTCAGGCAGGCGGGCGGTTGTAAAAACAATTAGCCAAACTATTCAAAACATGTAAGGCAGACCCTGGCTATAGCTGGGATATTGCCAGGAAGAAGAAGATATTACTCTGATATGTAAGCTACATCATTGTAAAGTTTCATTAAAAATCTATACAGTAGTTTTTGTGTAACAGAATTACAAACATACACCATCACAAATTTACACATTTATTATATAAGTTGGGTAAATTCTATATGTATGGCATTTAATTATAATCTTTATATAAAAATACTATTATGTATTTGTTATGCTTGCTTGATATTGTTAAAATATTATTTCAAGTGTAATGTAGGCAGATCAATTTATTATATTAGGTTCCGTCATTCAATTTGATACTTAGCAATACATACATGACTTTAATATAGCTTTATTTACTACATGTACCTTTTCTTAATATTATTGTCGACTATATCTTCATTATGAAAATCCTCGGACACCCCATCCTTAATGTAGACTTCATTGAAAGTAGGTATATCATATTCATTTGTGTGTATCGAGAGATTATTATGACTCTTATATTTCATCTGTGAAATAAAATATATATATTATATATATTTATATATATATATATATATATATATATATATATATATAAATTGGCTATATATGCAACTTTCAGCAAGAACTTTTTGGTCAATACAAGATTATAAAATAAAAAAATAATTATTATTATCATAGATAGTAGATTCTATGTAAAATTTTATAAAATCCTACTTACAATATATTAAAACAAAAATCAATATAAAAGTACCAGTTATGAAAATGTAAATAAATGAATCATATCAATAATTATCCTACTAATATCATAATTGCGAAAGTTTGTGAGTGTGTGTGTATGTATGTTATTTCTTCACGCTCAAAGGGTTGAACCGATTTTGATAGAATTTTGTATACAGGAAGCTGACGTCCAGGAATAACACATAGGCTACTTTTCATCCCGGAAATCTCGGAAATCCGCGGTTATATATAAAATTTAAATAAAACATTTACCGATCCCATTCCTTCAGGATTATTAAGAATCTTCTGTGATTCTTGTACAAGCTTTAAAAATGACGATATTTTTTTCAACGTCGCTTCACACCACGAACATAGAGAATTGAGATCTAAATTCTGTTTAAGGAAATTGTCATTAGTATACAAAAATTAATTATCAGTTTTTTACTAAGCAATATATATATGAACATTGGACTAAAGATTGCAGTAATATTTAAGTTTTTTATTATAAAAAAGTTTTATTAAAACTCCTTTTCCAAATATTGGCTCTATAACATGAATTTACTTAAGATTGGACATAAAATTAAAAAAAAAAAACCTTTAGCAAAGGTATTTGTGACAATATCTCGTCTTTACAAACGTCGTATTTGATCACTTGTGTCTGTTTTAAACATATATTACATGTATTTTCTTCTGTTAAACTCATATTTATATTAAAAGCAATAATTTAATTGTATTTTTACGCAAATTCAAAGATTTTATCAACCATTTAACCGTTTCAAATAGAGTTGTTTGTAAACAGTAAATGACAGTTGATAGTTTGAAATACAGATTATAAAAGTAATTATGTTTGATGCGTTCCATTTAAATGTTTTTTTTTCTGGAGAAATCTGCTCACAGATACCCGACTGAGCGGGGACTTTTATTTTATTATTTTAAAGTGACATTAACTGATGTGTGTACCAATTACAGACGTACACAGCACTGCTAAAGATTACTGTCTAGCTGCTTACAAAAATATTATAAAAAAATAATTTAACAAAAGAAATTTCAATAACAAAACTATTACGAAAAAAATACAAATAACAAAAGAAGAAAGAGTATCAAATAACAATCAAGATAAACTACTTGACCGGGTTATGTAGGAATGGGTTTACAGACCCACTAAAAACAATGGTTATTCCTCTTTTACGCCGCTAAGGCAGGGCTGCAGTGTTACGAGTGCTTGCCTCGCGACCACGAGCGACGCTTGTCTGTTCCGGACCTCAAACTAGAGAGACAAATACCCCTCAAACCACCCCAGGAATAAAATGGGGCAAGCATCGCACAGATTCTATCAATGGGGGACAGAAGTCCCCGTCTGCCTCACAGGATCACGTCGCCCTGCGCTTAACCTATGGCTGTACTGAGAACAGATAGGCTCGGCGCCGGTGACCAATTCGCCGACTCCATTTAATGTTTAATAAACTCATATCCTTATAAATATATATTATACAATTTATTATTTTTCCTTAATCTTTATTTTAAAATCGCGCTGTCATTAATATAGAGCTGTTTTTATCTTTTAACAGAACTCGGTCTCAATTTTAAGCCAAACATATTCATTAGTCATCAATGATCAGTTATTATGTGATAGAATACAAATATTATAAATTATGAATATTTTTAGGGTAATGTTTCAAATATAGACTTGAATGTGGTAAAAAAATAATTTAAAAATATATATTAATGACATAAATAAATAAAGTGACACTTCACTATTATCATATTTAATCTGATAAAATATATACTATCTTTTTCTGCAACTTTACATGAGCTTCGAAATTATTATTATTATTCGAAATTAAAACAAACATTGTAATCGTTGTGGCCACTTTAAAAAGCTGCACATGTAACCTATTTCCATTTAATTGTTTTACATTAGGCATTTAAACATGTAGCAGCTGCTAGTGGTCCTTAAATAAATAAATAAAAACAAAAATTATATGTAAGTATGTGATCGTTTAACGTTAGATAGGGTCCCTTAAACCTACACCTGGGTCACAAGTCCCAGTCACTGTTGAAGCTCCTCTCACTACAACGATGGACCCGACACGCGCACCGTGAATACATGGAATGATGAGAGGATTCCTCTCTGTATAATATACAGGTGACTGGTGAATTACTATCAATATTTAAGGAGGATACTCGGTACATGATTCTCATTCGAATTATGTAAAAAAAATAGGTACTTAATTTTTGACAAAATTTCCGTATAAATAAATAAAGTGTTGACACGTTCCAAGTGTTCCAAGCGTGGACGTGTGCGGCGGCGTGCTGATACAACACTACGCCGCCGCCGCGTCTGTGTGAGTGTATGTGTATACCTAATCTGTAGGGTGTTCATACGATGCGTAATTAATTACATAACTTTTGGTTAACTTTACTTAGAAGTTTATTAATATTTATGTTATATTAATTTTTATTTTGTCATATATGATCGTCACAAATCACGTCCTCAAATATCGATAGTAATTCACCAGTCACCCTGTATATGTGTGAACCAGTAGTTTAATTAAAATTGATCTAGTACTTTTTCAATGAACACCAACGAATCTAAACCTTCCCATATGTAATAAATGTATGTATTTTCAATGTTTTAACATCCCCTATAATTTCTGTTCTACCTTTTATTAAAATATAAATTCCCTTCAATAAATTGAACATTGTGTTATAATTAAAATTATTATGGAAAAACCTCTCTATTATATACAAAAATTGAAAAACAACAAATATATTTAAATATGAAGCCAGGCTTAATAATAAAAGATAAATATATATATCCATTTAATAAAATTCTGTGAAAAACTCATTGTTTTAACAAACAAGCATACACAGAAACCTTTGAAGTAGGTATATAAGATTTAATATTATAAAATAAATATTGAAACACCAAAAAGGTTTAGAATTTATTGAGCAAATCCACTTTTATTCTATTTACAATCATGTTTTTGTTCTCTGTTTCCTCTTATTTCATGAATGTCCATCTTTAATTTTATTATTGTCAAAATTTACAATTTTCTATTGACATATCAGAAAATGATATTATTTAATTTATGTGTGTGTGTGAGTTATATATGTATATATATAGATGTGTGTGTAGTTCAGTACATTTTAGTTTTTGGTGTGTTTGTGTCTGTGTATTGAGTTAATAATATACTAAAATTTGTATGTGTGTTTTTGTTAATGGCTGTGTGTATTACCAGTTACCAATATACATCATTATTGTCTTTCATTACTATTATTATTATTGAAATATAGTGTAAAATGTCGTCAAGTCTTATTACAAGCATTGATAAGCTT